TGGGGGCCATTCAATGGTATAATTTCCTTCATCCTCCAGGAACTGCCTGCATACTCTCACCACATGAGGCTGGGTATTGTCATACACCAGAAGGAACCCAGGACCCACTTCACCAGCGTAGGGTCTGACAATGGGTCCAAGGATTTCATCCCAATACCAAATGGCAGGCTGTGCCATTGTCTAGCCTGTAGAGGTCTGTGTGTCCCACCATGGATATGCCTCCCCAGACCATCACTGATACACCTCCAAAACAGTCATAATGAAGGATGTTACAGGCAGCATAACATTCTCCACTGCTTCTCCAGACCCTTTCACATCTGTCACATGTGCTCAGAGTGAACCTGCTCTCATCTGTGAAAAGCACAGGGCACCTGTGTCGGACCTGCCAATTCTGGTGTTCAGTGGAAAATGCCATTCAAGGTCTATGGTGCCGGGCAATTAGCATGGGGACCACTAGAGGACATCGGGCCCTCAAGCCACCTTCATGAAGCCTGTTTCTGATTGTTTGGTCAGAGACATTCACACTAGTGGCCTGCTGGAGGTCAGTTTGTAGGGCTCTGGCAGTGCTCATCCTGTTCTTCCTTGCACAAATGAGTAGAGACAGGTCCTGATGATGGGTTAAGGTCTACTACAGCCCTGTCCAGCTCTCCTAGAGTAACTGCTTGTCTCCTGGAATCTCCTCCATGCTCTTGAGACTGTGCTAGGAGACATAGAAAATCTTCTGGAGATGGCACATATTGATCTGCCATCGTGTAGGAGTTGGACTGCTTGTGCAACCTTCTGTAGGGTCCATGTATCGCCTAATGCTACCATTAGGGACACTGACCTTAGCCAAATGCAAAACTAGTGAAAAAACAGTGACACTGGTTTTGGAGCCTGAAGTGGAGAGGAGAGCGTCCTCTCACCACTCCTGATAGGGTAAACAGAAGGCATGGAGCCAGGAGAGACACGAGTGCCTGGTGGGTCTGAGGTTACAGCAGGCAGGTGATGACCTGGAATACCAGGATGCAGGTCAGTTGCGGATGCAGGTGAGTGGATGCAGCAGCAGGAAAGTATGGTGGAGATTAGGACAACCGTGGGCAGCTTGCAGCCAGAGATAGTCACCGGCAGGAGAGGTAGTAGTGTGACAAGCAAGATCAGGATCAATCGGGCAGATCAGGTATAAGGAGCATGCAAGCGGATAGTCAAGGGATGAGCCGGGTCAGTGCAGGTGGAGTTCAATCGTAGTAAGGTCAGATCAGGTAGGCAACAGAATCAGGATACAAGGCAACAAGCCCAGAACGTAGTAGACCAGAAGGCATAGGTTTAACCACTTCAAGCGCAGACACTTTTACCCCCTTCCTGTCCATAAACGGCACCCGCCATTTCTAGCTGTGCACGCTCCCTGGGAGCACCATGGTGACACTGTACTGCTAGGGTGACAGTATGTAAAAAAAAAAAAAAAACATAAATAATAATATAAAAAAAAAAAAAGGTTAAAAAAATGTTTAAAAATTATAATTTTTGGTTATAAACTAATTTGGCTTATTTTTTTTTTTACTAAAAAGATAACGGAATAAATTTTGGATAAGATTTATGATGAAAGATTATTTATTTGCAAAATTTTATAAGAAAAATACTTTTTTTCAAAATTTTTGGACATTTTCATTTGCATAGCAAAAAAAAAAAAAAAAAAATCCCAGCGGTGAATAAATACCACCAAAATAAAGTTTTATCTGTCTCAAAAAAATAGTAAAAAATTCAAATTGCCCTGGTCATGACTACCCAACACCAATGAGTGCAACAACATCTTCAAGGGCCCCAGCGTTGCCGGCAGAAGACTAACTTTGAGGATTGTATATAGTTCCCTTGCTGTTGGGGGAGTTGCCATTACATTGCAATCTTCTGTTGCAAAAGGTTTAGTTTCCTCATCACAAGACCCTATTGCCAACCTAGTCTTTAGCTGTATTGGTACCTATTTTGGTTGTCTATTGCTGCTCATTTAGTGAGGAGAGCTACAGTTCATGATGGTGGAACTTCACTCTCTCAGTCAACAGTGGCTATTTCTAATTCTTATGCTGCTAGAACTAGTAAATTGATAGGAAGCTATATCATATTTACTTGGCTTAAAATTTCTTTTTACATTTCTTCAGTTACTTTCTGGTTTCCATGTCTAGGCAAATGATGTCATACATCCCGGGAGTGTTCAAGAAGGAAGGAAGTATTTTCCTCAGCTAAATACACCCTTTTCTGATCTAAGTGCAGATGGATTCCAGGAAGTAAAGGCTGCATAAATCATCTGCCCTTACTCAAGATGGCCACGGCCAGAAATGCTAGGAGGCGTTTTCAAAAGTAAATTCTGAGCAAAATAAAGCATAGAGTCTAATTTCAGGCTGACCCTAAAGTACTGAAAAATCACTAGCCTACCTCTGTCAAAATGGATAACCTGAGGTGTCAGTGGTGCTAACGCTTTTAATGTAGTCACAGAAAGAATAGAGAACCCAACATAACCAGCAACTCCTGGGGGGTGGTGCTACACTTAAATATACTTTAAATATAGTTTCTAGATGTGTTCATATTTTTCTAAAGCAAATCCCATTGGCATATTTATAAATAAATTAAATAAAATATGTTACTAAAAGTTTTTAGTATCTGCAAATGCAATAACTATTTCAACAAATATATTTGAAGCATTTCATAACTGACTTTCTATAACTCTTCCTGCAATGTAGTTTTAAAACTGTAAGAAAGCATATTCCAGGTTTTGCCCTTGTTTTTCAAGCCATGTACAGTATATAGTGATTTTAGCCACACTGTGTCCAAAAGAATGATCAGAAATAAGGTGATATACTCATGCCTCTAGGGCACAGTTTTTCTTTTACCACTCACAGCATGTTCTGTATACAATAGTAGACTCATAATTGCTGTGTAGTAAAGTACATCTGCCTCTAGAGCAGTGACTACCCTTAAGGCAGAAGCCATCATGGTTCTATTAGTTGCTGACTGACCTTAGTACTGAAGCGTGTTTTTTTTTATGGCTGTTTTTGTTTGGCTTTGTGAATTATGAGAATGATAACATAGAAAACACAATCAGGACCAAAATAACTTCATAACCATTTTTTAAGAAACACAATAGAAAAGAAATAAAATGCTGTGTATCAGTATTCTGTAACTATGTGCACTTTTATACTATAGATGTATGATTATACATTACTGTTGACAGTTACAAATATACAGTATTCTTATTCTTAACACTGTAAACATAGATTTGGCAAGTATAGATTATTACAGTGATTTACACTGCTGTGCAAATGTCTTAGGCAGGTATGAGAAAAATGTTTTAAAATAAGAATGATGTCAGAAATAGAAATGTTATTAGTTTATTTTTATCAGTTAACAAAATGGAAAGTAAATGAATAGAAGAGAAATCTAAATCAAATTGATATATGGCATGACCACTCTTTGCCTTCAAAACATCATCAATTCTTCTAGGCACACTTGCACAGTTTTTAAAGGAACTCGGCAGGTAGGTTATTCCAAACATCTTGGAGAACTAGCCACATATCTTCTGTGGATGTAGGCTGCCTCAAATCCTTCTGTCTCTTAATTTAATCCCATACAGACTCAATGATGTTGAGATTAGGGCCAAACCATAACTTCCATGACTCCTTGATCTTCTTTATGCTGAAGATAGTTTGTAAAGCAGAACTCCAGGCAAGTTTTTTTTTTACAATGCAGTGAGGTTGTGCCCCCACTTCATGGATCAGCTGCTCATTTTTTCCAGAGGTAAGCAAAAAGCTCATACTCACCTGACCCACCAATCCTGTGGAAAAACCACACTCCCGACAGTCCAGCGGTGGACTGTTCCTGTCTATGGAGCATGCATTGAGAGCGCTGACATCACGAACAGTCCATTTAGAAGACCTCTGGACCATGGGGGTAGGAGTTGAGGGATCTGATCTTGTCTGGAAAGGATTGGTGGTTCAGGTAAGCATAACTCCTCTGTGCATTCTCCTAGAACAAAAAGAGCAGTTAACACGTGCAGTGCAGGCACACCCCCATTGCACTGGCAACATTTTTTTTTTTACCATGGATCAGCTGCTTGTTTTTTCTAGGGGTGAGCACAAAACTCATACTCACCTGACCCGCCAATCTTTTGAAGAATCACATTCCTCATGGTCCAGCAGTGGACTGTTCCTGTCTATGGTGCATGCACTGAGTGCACTGGCAACAGGAACAGTCAATTTACAAGAACGCTTGACTGCAGTGGGTGCAGGAGTCAAAGGGGACAGGTCTTATCTAGGGAGGATGGGAGATTCAGCCCCACTACATGGGCAAAAAAAAGATTTACCCAGAATTCTGCTTTATTTACATAGGCTGTATGTTTGGTGTCATTGTCCAGCTGCAGAATAAATTTGGGGCCAATCACGTTTCCCTGATGATAGGGCATGATGGATAAGTATCTGACTGTATTTCTTAGCATTGAGAACAATATTGATCCTCACCAAAATCTCCAGCTCCATTTGCTGAAATGCAGCTCCAAACATGAAAGGAACTTCTGCCATGTTTCACTGTTGCCTGCAGACACTCACTGTACAACTCTCCAGCCCTTCAGTGAACAAATTGCCTCCTGCTACAGCCACATATTTTGAATTTTGACTCATCCGTCTAGAGCACATTCTTCCATTTTTCTGAACCCCAGTTCCCATTTTTTTGTGCAGACTCCAAATCGGAGATATGGCTTTTTGGCTGCAATTCTTTCAAGAAGACCATTTCTTGCCAGACTTCTCTAAACAGTAGATGGGTGTACCTTGTCCCACTGTGCTGATGGCACTGCTAGACATCTTTCAATGTTAATTGCTTGCCTACAGGGCACTTATACCCCCTTCCTGCCCAGGCCAATTTCCAGCTCTCAGCGCTGTCACACTTTGAATGACAATTGCGCGGTCATGCAACACTGTACCCATATGACATTTTTATCATTTTTGTGTGACAGATAGAGCTTTAATTTGGTGGTATTTAATCACCTCTGGGTTTTTTATTTTTTCTTAAACAAACCAAAAACCGCTGAAAATTTAGAAAAAAAAAAAAGTTTTTTCTTAGTTTTTGTTATAAAATTTTGTAAATAAGAAAAAATTGATTTTTCTCCTTCACTGATGTGCGCTAATGAGGCTGCACTGATGGACACTGATAGGTGGCACTGATAGGTGGCACTGATGGGCATTGACAGGCATCACTGATGGGCACTGAAAGGCAGCACTGATAGGCAGCACTGATAGGCGGCACTAACTAGCGCTGTTAGGTGGCACTAACTGGCACTGTTAGGCGGCACTGATGTACACTGATAGGCGGCACTGACTGGCACTCATAGTTGGCACTGACTGGCACTGAGAGGTGGCACTGACTGGCACTGAGAGGTGGCACTGATGAGTGACACTGAAAGGCAGCTCAGATGGGCACTGATATGTGGCATTGATGTTCACTGGTAGGCACGGATATGTGGCATTGATGGGCACTGGCACTGTTCAGCACTGATGGACACTGACAGGTGGCACTTCTGGGGCCACACTGATCATCAGGGCACACTGATCATCAGTGCCCTGATGATCAGTGTACATGTCCCCTCCATGGAAAGCCAATTACCGGCTCTCATCTCGAGCTGTCAGCGTGACAGCTCGAGAGGAGAGAAATGCCGATAACCGGCATTTCCCTGTTTACATGGGATCAGCTGTGATTGGACACAGATGATCACATGACTGAGCCGACATCTTTAGCTCTTTCCGTAGATCGGTAATCCGCTGTGTCCCTCGGATCTTGGTGAAAGAGCACCGCCGATCGCTGCGCGCTCCCTGAGTCGTGCATGAGCGGTGAGAATGGGAGGACGTCATATGAGAGAACCACCTTGCGCCCGTCATTGGACTATATGGCGAGCGGTGGTTAAAAGGAAAGTAACATGATGTGTCTTTCATCTACTGCCGACTACTTCATTTACCATCCGTAATGTTGCCCTTTGCTTTTGTTTCTTTGTGCTTTTTCAAAAGAGCTTGAACATCCCATCTTGAAATCCCAGTCTGCTTTAAGTTCTTTGCCTGGGAGAGACCTTGCTGGTGCAATATAACTACCTGATGTCTTGTTGCTGTGCTCAGTCTTGCCATGGTGTATGACCTGTGACATGAAAATGTCTTCCAAACCTTACCTTAGTATACAGTACATCACTGTGATAATTTATGCTTGCCAAATCTACTTTTACTGTGTTAAGATGCATAAGACGATTTTTATGACTGGCCAACACTCTCGGTCCTGGACATACCACATACTGTATATCCATAGCAGATGCTTAGAGCCAGAAATTATGTAAAGGGTTCCACGATCTCTAGACAGTGACATGTTTCTATATACAACCATATGCTTTAGATCAGGGTCAGCAGCCAGTAGATCGTGATCTACCAGTAGATAGCGGCCAGTTGATTGATAGATCACTGTCTGGGCTTGCTGACCCACCATCCCAGAACATCAAACAGAGTGCAATGCAGAGGAACTACTTGTAAAGTTGGAGCTGTAATAGGAAGCAATAGTTGATGTCTCCTCTGTAGTGCTGCTCCTATGCCCTGTCATGGTTGGTGGGTGTAGCACCAGCCACGCATGACCAATTCAAGTGAATGAGGCCACTCTGCAATTGCCCTGAAACCTTGCGCAGTACAGCAAACAAGGGGTTAAAGAGGCAGTGTTGTGTTGCTTTCTCACGACCTGCTTTCAACCCTTGGATCCCACAGATGCATGCAGTTGCAGGGCACTTGCAGAGTGGCCCATTTACTTGAATGGGTCTCAGTTGACAAGCGGTAGCACCCATCAAAAGCAACAGGGGGTGTAATTCCTGCTGCGGCATGTGTACATCTTTGGCTGCTGCCTCAGCAGCTAAAGGAGGTAGGGATTGGGGGTGGTTGAACTGTGATTCAACCTCAGGGTTTTACCCCCCACACCCAACCTTAAATGTGAGCAAGCCCTTAGGGTGCTGCTGCTGTTTACACTAAGGGCTCATTCACAGGTGCAGTAGTTACTCTTGTTCCTCTACAAAGTGATCCCTGTGTGTTTTACAGGTGGTAAGGAGGTGAATAGCTGCCTCCTATCACCTGATTTAAACCCATGATTGCCATGCAATGCACGCAATTGTGACACGGTAGTAAGGCAAGTAGATGTTTAAATCAGGTGTGAAAGGGTAACATTGTGCCTGGTGATCTTTGACTTCTCCCATGTTGTTCAGGTAGATCTCAATCTCTTTAAGGTTGCCTACCCTTGCTTTAGATTGTATGTAAATGCTTTGAATCTATTGAAGGGGCACGACATTATATGTATTTATTATTGTAAATATATATTAAAGTCAATTAAACTCCTGGTATATTGACTTGGTCAGTTAAGTAGCAGAGGGGGTTGTTAATCAGTTTCAGCTGCTTTGGTGTTAATGAAATTATCAACAGTTGCACTAGATGGAAAACAATCAGACGACCCTCAAAACAGGAACGCTTTTACATATATATGATATCTACTGAAAACAGAAATATTATTAATGTATGCCACCAGTTTTACTCTTCAAACACTGATGCACAGCACTATATATTGTGTATATTACCCACTAAAATCATTCAGTTTAAAATACAAATAATACCTATAGGTTCAACTAAGAAAATTACAAATTACTACAGTGTATTAGTAAAATGACAGACTGTATGCTTCTTGCAACATTTGGCTAATGGGCTGCAGTTTAAGGTGATCCAATCATCTCTTTACAAACTTATTTTTAAGTGCTAGTGGAAACAAAATCCTTTAATCTTCTTTTTTCCACTAGATTTATGAACACTATAAAAAATTGCAAAGTGAATTATTGGATAAACCATGCTTGTGTAAGTTTGGGTCTATAGATGTAATATGCTTCATGTATGGATGACATGATATCTTAATGTCTGACTTTTCTTTCTAAAGCATTGGTCATCTAATGTTAGTCATGGACATGCTTTACAAGATCTTTCTTTCAATGTGTGTGTTTTTATTTCCAGTGTTGCAATTGTGAAAACATGTATTTGCCTCTGTTTGCTTGTTTTAGCTGTTAAGCTTTTATTTTAAATTAAACCCTAGTTGAGACTGTAATATTCTAAATAACTGACTTAAAAAGTGTGCTAGTGTAGATTAAAAATAGTAAAGAATGCTTTCAAGTATAAATTATCTATACAGCTTGAAGATCACTGGAATATACATAATGTGACCTTATTTTGCATTTGTGCAGAAGAGCAGGTACACTGTTGTCCCTTTTTTTGTAAAACCATCAATGTCAAGACATTATATATATATATATATTTATATTATGTGAGGGATTAGCCCAGCAGCGGGTTGTGCTTGACCCCCTGGATGAGTCAGAGCATGGTGAAAGATGCACAGCAGGATCTTGGTGAATAAAGTTGCGTTTTGTTTACAAGACTGGTGAACTCAACGTGCATATATTCAAAACAGCAAAAAAATACAAACAGAAAATAAAGCCTTTCCACACTGGGCAACTAACTACAAACACAGGTTCCTATCTGCCTGTCTGGATACAGCCTATCGCTGCTCAGACACAGGATCACACATTTACTAAAACTGGAGAATGCTAAATCTGGTGCAGCTGTGCATGGTAGCCAATCAGCTTCAAACTTCATTTTGTTCAGTTAAGCTTTAACCATAAAACCTGGAAGCTGATTGGTTTCTACCAGATTTTGCACTCCCCAGTTTTAGTGAATCAACCCCAGGGTGTTCACACAGAGCATCTCCAAGTCCAAAATCACACAGATTTACTCTCACCACAGTATTTTTTTGGTTGCTCCCCAGTCTGTCCTGCACAGCAAACTGGTTCCAGCTTGGAGCATTCTCCCTAAACAGCCTGGGAGTTTTACAGAGGCCAGAGCCCTTAACCTACTACAGCTGAGCTCATTAAATCATCAGTGAGCCAAACAGGCTCACTACACAGCACAAAAGGAGAAACAGTCAGTGTACAGCATGAACCTGGGACAAATATACCGTTCTCAAGTTAAGTTTTTGCTTTTGTAATAATGAAAGCAGACTATAATGTCTCTTGGGTTGACTTCCACTGGTGGTTTGGGGGCCAGAGACCTATGAGCCCTGTCCAATAACCAATCAATATCAGGAATTGTGAGATTGGCAAATTCTTTGTCAAGAGGTAGTGAGAAGGGCACAGCTCTGACATCCGTGTTCATCACAGTCAGTATCTCTGATTACCACCACACTAGTCATATGATGATGCTATACTGCACTGGTGACAGCATGTAAAAAAATTTTAAGAAAACCAAATTTTATTTAATTTTTTAATTTTTCAAAAAAAGTGACCAAAAAATTACAAATTCAAAAAACTCACCATGCTTCTTACTAAATATCTTTGACTGTCTACTTTCCAAAAAGGGGTCATTTGGAAGGTACTTGTACTGTCCTGGAATTTAGGGCCTCAAGAAATTAGTTTATATAATAAATGAACAAATTTCAAGGGGTGGAACCTGTGTTTATTATTCAACATTCTCCCCTGCTACATTTATACACTCATCCCAGCATTTAACTAATGCCTGGAAAGCTTCAGCATAGAAAGATTTGTCAGTACACCTGAACCCTCATAAGACAGCCTGCTTCACTTCATCATCAGTGCTGAAATTCTAACCTGAGAAAGATTTGACTCTTGTGCAATTTTATGACAGGATATGTGTTGATTACCCAAGATCAGACATTTCACATGCTTAATGTTCACAGGAATGACTGTGGGCTGGGAACCACTATGGCCAGGATCATCACTGACAGACCCATGGCAATCTTTGTAACGTTTACACCATTTAAATGTCTTACTGCAGTTGAGTGTCTCATCACTATACTGTGCTTGAGGTCTTCTGTAGATATCCATGGGTTTTATACCTTTGTTCACAAGAAACTTCATCACTGCATTCTGTTCCATGCACGCACTAACTTTGCCATCCAGAATAACAGCCTCTGGACTGGCCCCTGATGTGTGCACCAATTATTAGTGATAGGACATATTTTCCACTTACTACTGCATGTAGTATTGACATGCTAGTATCCCTTACCTTTTAATACCTGTAAAATTAAAAGTCCTGTTTTAACTTGAACACCCTTCAAACATACCATAGTTTGTAGGCTCTACAACTTTCACACTGACTAAATAATATACACTGATTTGTGCTACTTTTACCAAAAAATGTAGCAAAAAAAATGTCTATAATTATGAGGAAAGATTATTTATTTGCAAGGTTTTAAAACAGAAACTAAGAAAAAAGTGTTTTTTTTTTTAATTTTCTGTTTTTCTTTTGTTTATATAGCAAAAATAAAAAACCCACTGGTGATTAAATATTACCAAAAGGTACAAAATTACA